CATCCCTTCACATGGGATGGGCTCTCAAAGTCCCTTCTTACAGCAGGGAGAAAAACCGATCCACTACCAGGGGCCCCATAGAGTGCAGAGGCCTCCTCATTGACATCCACGTTCAGGGGTCTGGATCAGTCCCGTGCTGGCCTCCCAGACAGCAGTCTGGTGTCAGTGTGTTCTCCCTTGTTCAGACCAGCTGTTTCTGTAGGTTTCACCAGCCTGGTACCGACCACTTTGATCTTCATTCCTCCCTCTCTGCAACGAGCCGGTTCTTATAATGGGCATTTTCCTAGCCCAGGGAGGAGCTGACTGACAACAAAGCTTCAGGGGGTTGTCAGCATTGTCTACGGAAACACAGCTAATGATAGAACCAGCAACGACAGAGTGGACAATGTGGCCAGAAGCTCATCTTCTGCCATGACTGCTATCTTCTGCCCCAATCTTCTGCCACCGATGGAGTACAAAGGTGCAGGCCAGGAGAGCAAGGGCCAAGAGTATGGGCTCAAGGCAGGGAAAACAAGAGGCCTGGGAACCACAAGGATATCTCATAAAGGAGGTGCTATGGGTGCTGCTGCCCTCAGCACTTTTGGTTCTGTTCTATGTCATTCTTCCCTTGAGGGTGATGTGAACCCGGTTCCTTTAAACCTTGTAAAGCCTCACATTTAGAAGTCACACTTTGAGTAAGGGCGCATGCTTCCTCAAACAGCCTGCATGTGTGTATGTTTATCTGTCAAAGACTTGACAGATGTCCAATTCAATTTTACTTTTCACTGTTTCTTTATAACCAATACATGAAAAAAAAAAAAAAACACCACTTGCCTTCTTAAACACATGGCATATCATTTTGTTTGGCATCTCAAATAAAAAGAATTTTCTACCCTAACCATCTTTTCTAATATTGTATTTTGAGCCCTGTGACAAGTTCATTAGAGAGAAAAGGGTCTCCAAATCCCACTCTAACCAAGACTTCTAAGCTGCTTCCACATCCAGACACTCTACTAACCAGTTAATTAGGCTGTCTCAGTAGTGACCATATTTATTGAGCATACATTACAATCCCAAGTGACACTTCCTAATGAGTCTCTAGCTGCTATGGAGAAAAAGCTCTCCCACTCAATAAGTGTAAACTCACATGTCCAAAATAAAACATAGTTGTGATGTTTAAATGGCCTGTATGACTCTCCAGTCTCTCTGTGTTAGTTAGCCTGGTGCCAGTTCTTTAATTTGCACCCTGAAGGCTACAGCCTCACTTGATTTAGATGTCAGGATAAGGCAGTCTATCAGTTTGAGAAACCAACTGGAATATTTTAGATAATTGCTTTGGATATCTTCACCTTGCTGTGCAAAGGCCACTGCTCTCACAGAAGCAAAGGACTAAGTAATGTGACTCCCATAGACATTTTGAAGCAAGTTTAATCAAAGGAAATATCCTCAGGGTCAAAGTTTGCCATGCGTGGTGCTTTGTCTGTACAGAAAAGTCCACTTGAAGAAATTTAATGCCAAGGCTGTAGACAGTGCATTCCAGGGAATGATTATGTAGAACATTGTCTTTAAATCAGAAGGAAGCATGAAGAATGTCCCAATAAAACTCTTTCAGTATCAAATGTGTTGTTCTCCATATAGAATACTCCAGAGGATGTAGGCACTTTTCAAAGATGTCAGCCTGATCAGAAAGTGCCACCATGTTGTGTTTGAAGCTATATTCCCTGCTTCGGAGAAATGGACTACTTCTAAGAGAATCAAAGAGGGTTGAAGAATCAGAGACCTGGGTATGCTCCATATTGCTACCTAGTGCTGGCAGAGCACAGAGACAACTAATTATTTCTTTCCAAATTTCACTGAAATATTGAAGTTTATGAATTATGAGTCACACACTCTGTACTTACACAATTATAATGCAGATATAATCTTTTACAAACCAGAAGGAACTTTGAAGATAACTATTGGATTTTTCTCCTCTGGTATCCTACTATTGTTGTCATAAAACACCATGACCAAAGCAAGTTGGAGAGAAAGGATTTATTTGGCTTACATTTTCACATCACTGTTTATCATCAAAGGAAGTCAGGGTATGAACTCAAAGGGGGCAGAAACCTGGAGGCAAGAGCTGACACAAAGGATGTGAAGTGCTTTGGATATGTTCACCTTGCTTAGTAGCTCGATTTGCTTGGTTTGCTCAGCCTGCTTTCTTAGAGAACCTGGTGCCACTTGCTCAGTGGTGGCACCACCCACCATGGGCTTGGCCCTCCACATCAATCATCAATCAAGAAAATGCTCCCACATACTTGTCTATAGGCCAGTCTGATGGAGGCAATTCCCCAATTGTGGCTCCCTCTTTCTAGGTGACTCTTGATTGTGTCAAATTGACAAAACACTTGCCACTTTGCTTCTGCATATGAGTGAAAACATGTTAATAGTTGTCTTTATGGGATGACCTATTTCATTTGACTTGTACGCCAGGTCTGTTTATTTGTGGCAGACAACCTAATAGAAGTTTTTTATGGCTAAGTAAAATTCATTGTAACTATATATCGCCTTTTCTCTATGTACTGTCGATTAGGTACCTAGGTTGATTCCATAATTGGCTGTTGTAATAAACAGAATGTGAAGGCCTCTCTATGGTATGCTGATTGATTAATTTTGTATGTACCCTGAAATGCCATGGCTGGTTCATATGGTAATTCTATTTTTAATTTTATTTTTGAGATTTCTCCATAATGATTTTCATAATGGTTGAACTAACTTATATTCCCACCAGCAGTATATAAGGGATTTCCCTCACATCTTCTCCAGCATTTGTGCTGATTTGTTGATGATATCCATACTGATTAAGGTGAAGTGAAATCTCAATGAATTTTGATTTTCACTTTTCTGATAACTAAAGATACTGATATTTTTCATGTATTACTTGAGGGAGGCATGAAACCAAAACACAGATTCCCAAGACTATAGGGAAGGGAATGGAAGGGACCAAGAGAGAAATTGGGGATTTATAAAAAAGAACCATAGAGAGAAAGAATGGTTTGAATAGATTATATACATGCATGGAAATGTCCGTTATATAATTAGTATATGCTAATAATTAAAAATTAAAGTACAGATCTAAAAAATCAATTGTCCTATAGGGAAAAGGAGATAAAAGTCAGAAAAATGAAATTACTTGTCCAAGTTATATACCTTGTTAAGAATAATTGCATCATGTTTGAAGAAATGGGTGAAACCAGAAATTATAATATCAAGCAAAATAAGCCAGGCTCTGACAGACAAATGTGGCTCATTTTCTCCCATATTTAAATCTAGATACAACAACAAACACAAGAGGAACAAGAAAGGGGTGACATGAAGCATGACTAAGAACAACAGAGGGTGATGTACAAAACCAATTGAGGTACATTTCACCCATGCATGGAAATGTCATGACAAAACCTGCTTTGTTTGCTTTTTTACAATTAATATGTACTAATATTTTTAAATTAAAGAGTATTTGGAGCTGGAGAAAGGCTTAGTAGTTAAGAATGATTGTTGCTCATGGAGAAGACCAGAGTTTGTTTCTGGGAACCCATGCTAAGCAGCTCACAACCTTATAACTGCAACTCCAAA